CTTTTTTTGAAGATCCTGTTAGCAAAGCATGTTTTTATTTTGTTTTGTTTTGTTTTCCCGCCTTGCCTTTTGGTTCTGTAAAATTGAGTCCCTCAATCAAGTTTTTTGTTTGTTTGTTTGTTTGTTTTGGTCTTTTTGAGACAGTGTTTCCCTGTAGTCCCAGCTGTCCTGGAACTCACTATGTAGACCAGGCTGGCCTTGAACTCACAGAGATCCACCTGCCTCTGCCTCAGGAGTGCTGGGATGAAAGGCATGCGCCACCATGCCTGGCTCAATCAAGTTTTTATTCACAGGATCCTTTTGTTACTTGGCTTCTCAGCTCTTACAACTATAAAAGAAATAAATTTTTATGAAAAAAAAATCTTTCTAATGAGATCGAAGAGGAATTCTAAATCACTGTCAGTGGGTGTGTAAACTGATGTATCCATTATGGAAACAAGAGTGATGATTTCTTTCCAAACTAAAGAGCTTCCTCATGCTGATGGTGGTTACATAAAAAGCCACAGTTGGCCAAAATGTAGAGAATAATAGACTGCAGAGTGTGTGTCACTGGATAGGACTCCTAAATCAAATATCTACCAACCAGGGCTCAGAAACCATTGCAGAAGAGGGAAGGAAAAGACTAAGAGCCAGACGTGATGTGTGACCAGACGGAAACAGAGTTTTGTAGGCTTCTGTTAACTTGCTCATAGAAACTTACAGCAATGGTTACAGCATGCACACGATCTATGAAATCACCAGCCACACAAAAAAAACCAGCATAAAACTGGGAAAGCCTCAACATAGCTGAGGAATTCTTGGCAGTGGATAACTGCTGGGTGAGGGAGAGTTGGTCTTCCTTAAAGGAATGATGCTAGATAGGCTTACCCAACTCCAGTTAATGAATGCACATGGAGGGACATCTGGAAATACAAATTGAACTGGATACGCCTTAGCACATATGGAATAATATATGAAATCCAGTGGGGGCACCCTATGGGGCAGGTGCAAACTGTGGAGGGGTTCTAAATATAATTAAGATGCATTGTATGAAATGCACAAAAATTCAGTAAAAATATATATTATAATAAAAAAATCTTAAAGCAGAATTTACATATGATCTAGAGCATTATTTTGCCATACCCAAAGGACTTTATCCATGTTCTTTACTACTCTAATCACAATAGCACAAAAATGGAAGCCGCTTAAATGTCCATCAACTGATGAATGGATAAAGAAAATGTGCAACATATATACACAAAGGAATTATATTCAGCCATTAAAAAATGAAGTTCTGCCACAATAACTGGCCCAGCAAATTATCTCTATTGGTACAGTAGTGGCACTTTTATCTTGGGGGTAAACAACAGCTATCTTATTGAACCTAAGGACCTCTCAATGGGAGGAAATTAATGTGTGGTCCTGTAAACATAGTCAAATACACATGGCTGAAGAAGAATAGACACTACTTCTGTCAATAGAACCTACTTCTGTCAATCCCCTAGACCAATATAGCTTCTCACTATAGTCTAAATATGTATCCTTATATTTAAAGACAACTGCACCTCTAATCACTTATCAAAGGAGCTTGCATTTGCAACAGATATAAATTATTACAGTTCCACAACTGGTCAATGAAGAGAATAAGTGACTGTGAGGTACCCAGCCCTCAGTGACATATCTACCATGCAACTTCTGCAGTTAAGTCTCAGGGAACATATAGAAGAAGGGGTTGAAAGAATGTAAGTCAGAGGACTAAGACACCTGTTGCTAGTTATTGCATTCTAAACATGTTAGAGAAGCAACCGTGACATTTCCACAGTATGGTATTCTAACAAAAGCTGCATAATGACAAAGCCAGTTGAACTGCCAAGGTGGATTGGGGAAATTTCATGGAGTCCCACCTCAAAATGACTAGCTACAGGCACTCAATGAATGTTGAGGGAGAATCCAGGGACTAGAGCCCTGAGAGGCTATCTAATCACAAGTGGGCAGCCCTAAACACAGGTGCACACAAGCATCACTAAACAGTTTTAGTGCATTATGTGTGTGAATGTACATAACAATAATAATCCAAGAAGACAACAAGAATTTGAGAGAAAGAATGGGGAGGACATAGGAGGATTGGAAGGGACTAGGAGAGATGAACATAATGCAAATACTGTGCTCATGTTGAAACAAACCCTCAGAGTAAAATAAAAAAAAAATACATGCTTTAAAAAATGAAGTTTTCCAGCCTGGTCTACATAGTGAGTTCTAGGTGAGCTGGGGCTACAGGGATATGCTGTCTTAAAAAGACTGAAAAAAAAAAAAAAGAAAAAAGAAGTTTTGGAGGCTGGAGAAATGGGTCCATGGTTAAGAGCACTCGTTGTTCTTGCAGAAGACTCAGATTTGATTCCAAGCATCCACATGGCAGCTAACAACCATCTGTAACTCCAGTTCCAAAGAATCCAATGCCCTCTTCTGGCCTCCATAAGCATTGTGTGTATGTGGCACATTTACATACACACAGACAAAAACTCATACACACAATAAAAATAAAATTTTTTTAATGAATTTATGGAAATTGTAGGCAAATTGGTGGAACTGAAAGGCATTATGAGAAGTGAGATAATCATCTCAGAAAGAAAATAATTATATGTTATCTCTCATATATGAGCTCAACTTGTAATTTTAACATGTGTGTATTTACGTGTGACTGGACATTCTCGGAGGACAGAACATTCAAATGGATTCCATGAGTAGAAACAAGAAGTTTGGAGTTCTTGCACAGGCAACCATTTTGACAAGCATTACTGACTGCAGCATCCCTCTCATGTCCAAGAGACATCATTTCATAGCAGTTGTCCTATTTCCTGGGCTCTTACAATCTTTCCATAAACTCTTCTATGATGTTCCCTGAGCCTTAGGTGTGAGGGTTGTATTATAGATGCTCCATTTGGTAATGAGTACATATGATCACTTATTTTCTCTGTTTCAGTCAGTTGTAGAGCTAATACCCCTCACCTTCTATAAATTGAGCTTCCTTGATGAGTTATGAGAGCAACACTTATGTATGGGTACAAGAATAAGTATTTAGAAGGCAGTTGGAAACTACATACTTTAGAAAGTTTTCCTTTAGGGCATATGACCTCTCCAGCCACAGTTATTGGCTAAATTGACAGTACCAATTGAGTTGGCTTTATGTGCAATTAGACAGCTAATGGTTATCCCAATATACAAGTGTCACTATTGCCCTATAAGGGGCAACTTGCGGATCCCGTGATGTTGAAGCCTTCAAGCCTTGCAGCTGAATATGCTATTGATAGCTTTCCTCCCTTGGTAGTTTGCATAGGCCATTTGACACTATGAATGTTAGCCTCCAGGTAGGAAGCTTCCATGTCAACACAGCTTGATTTCTCCAAAGCCTTTGGGCAAAGGATTTGGAATCTTCAACAGTTCATTTTCTGGCAGGTAACAAAGGGCAATGGCATTTATTTTCCTAAGTTCAGGTCAGATAGGTAATGTGCAGATGCGTAACAAAGTTTGAAAGTGGCACACGTCACACAACCACATGAACACCCAATCATCACGCTTATGAACCAGAAAAGGATCGAGCAATAACATTTAACCTATAATGCTTTGGGAGGTCTCTTGGCCTGCAGTGATCAACAGCTCCCTTGGCTGGCTCTGGGGACTTTGCTAGATAGTCTAGATAGTCTATGGTTCCTTGGGGAAGAAATGTTGCTCTTTCTTGGCTGACTCAATTGAAACTACACACACACACACACACACACACATATATACATATATATGGGGGGAGGGAGGGAGGGAGGGGAGAGAGAGGGAGAGGGCATGGAGGCACATACCTCACCCAATCATCACGCTTATGAACCAGAAAAGGATCGAGCAATAACATTTAACCTATAATGCTTTGGGAGGTCTCTTGGCCTGCAGTGATCAACAGCTCCCTTGGCTGGCTCTGGGGACTTTGCTAGATAGTCTAGATAGTCTATGGTTCCTTGGGGAAGAAATGTTGCTCTTTCTTGGCTGACTCAATTGAAACTACACACACACACACACACACACATATATACATATATATGGGGGGAGGGAGGGAGGGAGGGGAGAGAGAGGGAGAGGGCATGGAGGCACATACCTTTAATCCTAGTGCTCTGGAGGTAGAGGCAAGCAGAGCTCTCTGAGTTCCAAGCCAATCTGGTTTATCATAGTGACTTCAAGGCCAGCCATGGATACACAATGAGACCCAATCTTAAAAAATCAATCAAACAAAACAAAACAAAAAAGTGGTGTTTGTGTGTGTGTGTGTGTGTGTGTGTGTGTGTGTGTATGGTTTCTATCTGTGCAGTTTAAATATTCTTATAAAATAATAGATTTCCTTATGGGTTTTTCAAACATCCATCTTTTTCTCTTATTTATCATTCTTTCTCCTCTCTCCTGCATTTACTCTCCCTCCTCTTCCCTAGTTAACTCCCCTCACTTTTTCCCTTTCTTCCTTTGAAACAACTGTATCCTATGACATGCCAACATGGATGGCTAAAACTTCACAATACCTTATCCATGGATCAAGAGCTGCAGGCATTCAAAGACAGCTGAGGGAGGAGGAAACAATGTTTGCAGCAATGAGACCTGTCATAAGAAGTCAGTTCTAAACAAACACAAATAAGTCAACACTAGTTGAACTTGGTAATACCCTATGAAAGAAGGGTCATAGATTCATAAAGGGGTTAGGGAGGACAGACAAAGAGCTGGAGGCGGGAAAAGCAAGGATGGAACTGGTACAAATACTGTATACTCATATAGAAAGTCCACAAATAAATCAACAAAATAAAACAAAGACAAATCATTCAGGGCCACTAAAAAGATACTCTTTTTTAGTATTCATAAATTAAAAATAAATATTTAATTAGAAAAAAGTAAAAGACTTCAGGGAAGGTGTTGTGGTATGTTTGTGGTGGTGTGAAGGAGGAATATCTCCCATAATCTCAATTATTTGAATTCTTGTTCCCCAGTTGGTGGCACTATTTGATGAGTCCATGGAACTTTTAGGATGTACAGCCTTACTAGAAGTTTTTGATGAGGGTAGTCGTTGAGAGTTTATAGCCTCATTCCATTTCCAGGATTCTCCCTAGACTCTTTGTTTATTGTTGCTGATGTGATCTAAGCTTTCTGCTCTGACTGGCTACTGTCTTTCCACCATTATGGATTTCCCGTCTAGAATTATAAGCCAGAATAAACTCTTTCTTCTATAAGTCTTTGGTCATGATGTTTATTTCAGCTTCAGAAAATCAACTAATATAGAAGTTGGTATCAGAGAGTAGGCTATTGATGTAAAGAACCTGATGATGTTGTTTTGGGGAGGAATGCAGAATAATTTGATACTTTGATCTAGAAAAGAATTGTCAATTGCTCTTACTCAGAGACCCTGGACTAATTTGACTCTGTGCTTTGTATTTTATTGTTAACTTTTAAGCAGGTTAACAATGGAAAAGAACAAGTAGAGCAGAATGAAATAAAAAATGAGCAGTTTAGAAAGGAAAAAAAGGCAGTATGAACCTGAATGTTGAAGCTAAGGCATGTGATAGAAAGCAGCTGTAATTGTTAAATGCTTAGTGTCATTAAAGAGGGGCCTCCTGCTCTGCCCTGAATAACATAGGGTGCCCTCAGGACAAAGAAGATAAGCATCAAACATCTGAAAGAAGAAAGTCTATTGGAGTTACTTGTTCCTCAAAAGCAATGGTTTCAAAATAGAATAGCTGATACTAACATGATTGAGAGGGTTGAGTCTGTCCAAGAAGACAGCTAAACTTGGTTGCATTATCCACATGGTACTAGGTTTAGAGTCATCCAAGATGCAAGAGTGAGATGATTGTTGATTCTTCATCTGTGATTTCAGAAAGTCAGCTAGGCTAGGCAACATGTGGCCAGGGATTTCTTGTGAGAAGTTGGCCCTGAGGGGCCAGGAGGTTCTGCGAAGGTGTCAAAGTAAAGCTTAAGTTGCAGTGGAGACAGCAAAATGTTGAAGATGCCAAAGACTTGAGATATGTGTCAAGGAAAGCTGTATACAGGGAGAGGAACCAGCCAGAGAGAAATGTATGCTATAGGCAGCAAAGACAAATGTAGCACCACATAAGCCATTTGAAACTAACATCCCACATGGGGTACCTGGAGCTTTAGGACCTGGTATGTGCCCTATTATGCTTCTGTCTTGTTTTGCTCTGGTATTTCCACACTATATCCCCATTCCTCTCTTTTGGATTGAGAAAATATATTCTGTGATACTTTATGTTGGAAGTATATAAGTTGCTTTTAGACTTTTCAGGGTGTTGCATTTTAGAGATTGTCTTGAGTCCTGGAAGAGACTTTGGACACTGGATATTTGAAAAACGTTGAGAATGTTAATGACTATGGTGACATTTAAAGTGGATTAAATGCATTTGCATTAGGATGTGGCTTGAAATTAGAATATGGCAAACCAGTGAGATAAGGATAAATATTTACTGGACCAAAAGACATGAATAAATAATCAAAAAACAAATACATAATTCATTCATTTAGAATAGTAATGACATAATATTTGCTTTCTTTGGTTAATTTTTTTTTATTTCTTCCTGTTCAATCATACATGATAGCTCATTGAGAAGTGAATCAGCTTTATTCAAAGAAGACTTTCACTTAATAAATTATTTTAATTTCTTAAATCATTCAAATTCACTTGTTCTAATTAATTCACAGATAAATATATCACACAGCTAATTTAAAACAACCACTCAAACACTTGGGAAGTCCAAAACTCTATGTATCTCATTGAACTTCTACAGCGTCACAATGGCTATTCTGAATCAATTGAGCTTCACCTTGGATTTTAAATTTTCATTATTATTTGTATTTTTATTCACTTATCCACCATGAAAAGAAAAAAAAAAAAAACAATGACAGAGTGTTGAATTTAGGGAAAATAGTTTTATATCTGTCTTTCATGACTCATTTATTTTTTTCTGTGTTCTGTCCTTCCTCATAATCTAACACTACCCCCTTTAAAGATCTTTCCTAAACTTAATACTATACAATTATAACTATTTTCACACACACACACACACACACACACACACACACACACACACGCACGCACACACACACGGCCAGGATCTACATATGAGGAAAAAACATGATTTTTTTTTCCTTTCTGAATTTAAGTCAACTTACATAAAATTTCCCTTTTCAAGTCTGTCCATTTTCCTACAAATTTCGTGATTTCATTTTTTTAGATGAATAACATTCCATTGTGTATATGTACCACACTTTCACTATATATTCATCTGTTGATGGACATCTAGAGAGGTTCCATTTTCTTGCTATTTCAAAGAAGCTTGGAGCTGAAAATACTTCTGTGGTAAAATAAAGAGTTATTTGCATATAGGCAAAATTTTAAGGTACTGAAAAGAACATCAAAGAAGATACTAGATAATAAAAGAGGTCCACGCTCAAAAATTATCAGAATTAATATTGTTAAAATGGCGATACTACCTAAATTAATCTACAGATTTAATAAAATATCCATCAAAATTTTAGTGTCCTATTGCACAGACCTAGAAAAGCAATCCAAGAATTCATATGGTACACAATGACCATAAATAGCAAAATAATCCTAAGGAGTAAGAAGATAGTTGGAGGGATTGCAATACCAACCCCAAATTATACTAGAGATTTAGAGTCATAAAGCCTGATACCGGCATAAAAACAAATAGATGAATGTAACATAACAGATGCTCCATAAATAAAGTTAATTTTTTATAAAGGTGGTAAAACATGCAAGGAAGTAAAGATAGCCTATTAAATGTTTATAGTAAAACTAGATACTCACCTGCAGAAGATGAAATTAGCTCCACATCATTCACCTTCTGGAAAAATCTATTCAAGAATGAATATCAAAAAAAATCCAAATAAAGGTAGAATTGCTCGTGAAAAACTCTATTCAAAATGATGAATCAGTGACCTTAATTGAAAACCGGCGTTGCTTAAAGTTGTAGACAAAAACATAGGGGATACTTCCAACACATCAGAATACACAAGAACTTTCTGTAAAACACTTATAGCATAGGAACTAGCTCCAAATATCAATATATGAAACTCAGAATTTCTGCACAGCAAAAGATGCTATAGCAGAGTGAACAGCCCATAGAAGGGGATAAAACCTTTACCAGCGATAGCTCAGACAGGGGACTAATATGCAGAAAATCCAAAGCACTGAAGAAGGTAAACTTCAAGGAAATAAAACTGGCAATCATCCAATGGGCTAATAAAAAGGACAGATATTCTTGAAAACAAGAAATAAAATGGCCAATAACTTTATTTAAAAGTGGTCAAAATCCCTAGTCATCAAGGAAATTCAAATTAGTTTAATCAATTTAATTTGAGATCGATACCATTTTACCTTCCTCAGAATCGTTATCAAGAAATCTGACAACAAATGTCAGAGAGGAGAGGGTGTGGGGAAAGAGCAAACCTTATCGCAGTAGGTGAGAAGGAAAACTAATACAGCAAGTATGGATATGGGTTTGGAGGTTCATAAAACGTTAAAGGGAACTACCAC